TGATCAGTCACAAAAACTACCAAGAATCCAGGGGAAACTCAGCCAATTTCCGCAATAGGGAGACCTTTTCAGTAAAGGCTTTTGTAATATTACTTTCCAAATATAAAACAATCTCTAGATTCGGTTATTTGCTTTGCAGGCTAGAAAAGCATACGTGATGATCCCTTGCCCAGTTTTTCCAACATGTACTTAAGAGCCTAATAATAAAAGAATGAAATAGGACCTCCCTGGTGGCGCAAGGGGTTAAGATGCAACCTATGAAGCAATCCGCAGCACGAGTTCGATCCCAGCCCAGGGAGCTACCCACATGGCGCAGCAGACCTCTCCTGACTCGCCTGCTGCTCCCCTCAGCAGTGGATTTCGTCAGTCTGCCTGTTCTGCTCCCCACTCTGTCTCTGGTGAATCCTCTCACCCCTCCTCACCACACCTCTGGCCTGTACCCCAGTTCTTGTATGCATAAATAAATAAATCTTTTAAAAAAAGAAATAATACCAGTAATATCCGTAGCTCTTTAAAAATCACTGAGCACACACACTGAGTGCTCTCCTTCCTACCAATAAGGACTCAAAACTTAGGGCACATCTGAGTAAACCGAGCCACTGAACACGGCGAACAGAGTGGAAAGGCAGAGAAAGTCGCCTCTTAACTGAGAGAAACAAGGAGTCGCTGACTTAACTGGAAGGAGACCCTCAGAAAGGGGCTCAGAAAGGGTTCCCTCCCTAAAAGCAGGCATGTGGTGAGACCCAGTCTCACTCACCTCACACTAACCCAGGGGCACATTTACTAGCAGTGAACACTTCACTTAGTCTTCCAACACCAATGACTGTTTTATGCACTGGGATTATCTGTGAGGCACTAACAATTGTGAAAATGTTCTTTGTGGTTAGCCATTTGCCTCAGACATAAAACTGGATGGATAGGAACAGAGAGAAAGATGGCTGTGTGCAGGTGGGCGGGGGACAAGGGAGGGAGAGGTGGGGAGGAGGCAGGGCGGGCCAGGCTGCTAACACCCACCACACACCGCAGGTGTCAGACTAATAAAGCACTCTGGAAAGACCACACTTCGCTGTGTCTTTATCGGCTTTGAGATTCTGGATCCTTTTTTTGAAATATGCAGAATGAATATAACATGGAACAACAGAATGTGGAATAAATTTTGCAGCCCAAATGCTTCTCCCCGGACATGGATATCATTTGTTACCCCAGAATCGGCCCCATCATGCAACCCACTCAGTGACAACTACTCACCCGGCCTTGATCCAGGACCCCCAAGCTGCAGGGCGGAGCATGTAAGGAACAAAGCACCACATAACGTGACCAAACGAGCAGGTACAGAGGCCAGACGACAAAAAGAGGCCCAACATCCCAACACCCACGACAGGGACCCCGTCATCATGCAGCCTTGGAGCGTCAACATCACATAGAGAGCGAATGTGTATTGAACTGTTTGCTTTGCTTATCCTAGTTTGCAACTTGGGTTTCTACTCTACACAACAGATTTAAGCAACTCATTCTAATGCTCAGAATAATTTATTTGAAACTCTTGATCTTTTTTCCTCATTTTTCAAAAGAAAAATGTGTCGGCATTCATTCTCATTTTTTTACCCATCAGCGTGCGTGGTAGAGCAACACAGCAATTCTTCATTACTCTAATGGGGGAGAAATTAACTTGACATCAAGCCTAATTGAGTAAAACCTCCCTAATTCTTCTAAATAGGGATAAGTCCTGCTTGATTAGTGAAAGCAATTTAGTGTAGAACGTATTGAGATAAACACACTTCCCAGGCTCACGGCGCGTGCCGGTGTGGCAGAGCAGACAAACCTGCCACACTCAGGCTGAGAGTGATGCAGCGTCTCAGCTGCACATAACGACCTGGATGGGGTCTCTCTAGATAACGATGGAACAGTGGGTGCCATCTTGCCTACAAAGTTTCAAAGCCAGTCTTTGTACACAGACGCTGCCGAGACCCTCTCCAGCCCTGTCTAGAGGCAAAACGTCAGAGCGATGCATCAGCGATGACAGCCATGGTCACAACTAACAGATGCCACCTTGTGGGTGGCCCTCAACTCACGGCAGTTTATACCCAGACTTCACTTGTGCCAGCTGTCAGGATCAGGCCCAACTGGAGCCATGTTGTCCTGTGCGTGGCCCGGGAGAGGAGCTTGTCAATTTGCTATCTGTGACCCCGCTGGTCACTGAACAGTCTCAGCTTATCCCTAAGTGACGTTTCTACATCTCACAGGAATCGAGCGTGGTGACAGCACCGGGCACCAGCCATGGTGCTTCCCACTGGGGTGCCTGTTTTCTCTGAGGATCTCTATATAGCAGAGACAACTATTCATGAAATCTGGCAGGTCGGTAAGTTCTTCTGTTGCAGAAATTAATGGGCCTTATCAAACAAACAGCTTCCTGGGGGATAATTAAGAACTACTGCATCCTGGAACACTTCATTTTCCAGAATTAGAATGGACAACTGCTTAAAAATAGTAATTAGAAGTACCCTCTGTTACTAGGTTAGTGTTTCGCCCAGTCTTATTAACCCAGTGAGCCCCCATGCGTCAGGGTGGGTTCGGTGCCATCTTCTCAGAAAGCCTGGCTGGCCTGTCACCTGCACACCCCAACCCTAGCCCCCGTTCGGGCCACGCCCTTCCTGGCCAGCGCCCCTGGCCTCTACCACACCCCATCTGCTTCTGCCCCAAAGGTGTCCCGTGTGCCCCCTGCACCGGGCAAGAGGGGTACACCCTACCTCCAGGCAAGGATGGAGGAACCCCAGCCACCCACTAGAAAGGACCAAGGCCATGCTGAGCACTGGCTGAGTGCCCCTCCAGAGCGCCAGGAAGGAAGGGAGAGCGGGTGCTGCGAGCACCTGGGAAGTGCCGTCTGTACATCACCCTGGGAACTGGGACCTGCCACCTGCCCTCTTCCTGACAAGTAGGTCTCACTAACATCACCACTTTGCAGGCGAACTGTACTTCACTGGGCCCGTTGAAACATGAAATTCACAATAGTGAACTTCTAAAATTGGCTGGGTGGAGCTTTTCTTTTGCAGGACGGCGGGTGGGGCGCATCCCCTGGGTCCCAAGGCACACGCGCAGGGGGCTCAAGCCACCGGGAGGCGCGGGGAGCGCCCGCGCGTCCTCTAGTGGCCGCGCGGGGCACAGCACGCAGAGCCCGGCGGTGCAAACAGCCAGGCGGGGCTGGGCGCTGCAGGGTAGCAGAGGGACGTCCCACGTGGCCCACCAGGCCAGAGAGAAGCCAGCCTGGCGCGTGCGAGGGAGGAGAGGACGGGACCTAGTGGCAGCAGCAGAACAGGTGCAGAAATGGAGCCTGGGCCTCCCTTGTCACTGCCTGCCTGTCCTCCCTCCATCACCCCACGGCCCCCCAGACACCTGGGGTGCCCTCACAGGACTGCAAAGCCTGACCTTTGCTGGTTCTGGGGCAAGGAGGTCTAAATTTTTAAAAGATCCAATATCAAGCTAACAAACTGTTAAATAAATTATCGTCACTCCTGTGATAAGTGTGCTTCCATGGCAACACAATTATTAGAAAATTTCGTAAAGCCGTGGTCTCTATATGAGTGAGCACAGACAAAACACCACAAAGGCAACAGCACGTGAACATTCCTGTACATCTAAGGGGTCTGTGATGAGCCACTGCTGCCAGGGGTGAAGACACCCCAAGGCTTGCTCTTTGTGCGAAGGCTGTTTCTTTTGCTCTTCCTGCATCCACTCCAGGGAAATCAAGAACCACACAGCTATGGCCTAGGTGGTGCCATGCCTGTGTCCTGCGGATAGTGATGGCAACCTAGACTGCTTTTCTTAACTGGCGCTTACGTATGTCCATTACTGTCCATGTGGGAAGACTTCACCATGTTGAAGCAGCACCAACAGGCAGTCTCAACGTTTTTAAGCCCATCCTTGGGACTCAGAAATGAACCAGAAATCTTACATGCCACGTTCAATCACTGTAGTGGGGTCACTGAGGTTAGGTTGCTTTTCATCACATCAAAATTAGAAAATATTTTAATGTTATCATTAAAATCACTATCACGTTCTACGTCCCTACTGTCTCTGAAAGCAGCATCTGGGCCTGTCTAGCAGTTGTTAAATTCCACTGTTTTCAATGTCTTGATAATATATAGAGAAGACAGAAAAAAATCAACCCATGTATTACTAAATTCATTCAAGTCTTTCTTCATTGGAGACAACATCTTCAACCAAAATCACCAGAAAATAATCCCCATAAGAAATCAGCACTAGGGGGGTTCCCCTGGTGGCGTAGGCAGTTGAGCGCAGTGCTGTAAAGCTGTCCGCAGACTCTGCAGCACCGGTTCAATCCCGGCCGGCCAGCAAGGGTCCCACATGGCACAGAAGACCTCTCCTGTCTCACCCACTGCTCCCCTCAGCAGTGTATTTCATCAGTCTGCCTGTTTTGTTCCCCGCTCCATCTCTGGTGAATCCTCTCACCCTCCCGCGCATCTGGCCTGTACCCCGGTTCTTGTATAATAAATCTTTAAAAAAAAAATCAGCACTAGGCTTTCTCTATTGGATCCTTGCTTCCAAGATCACCAAGAAAAGAAGGAGTAATGGTCATGCCAAAAGGGAAGTGGCCACATGTACCCCGCATCAACCACGTGTACCCCATAACTTGACATTAACAGCTGACAGCTCTTCTTTCTTGTTGCAGTTTCAGGACTACTCAGTACATTTGGGTCTTGGAAGTGTTGCAAAATTAAAAAAATGCTTTCTTATTTGGCTCCAGATTATTGTGTAATCTAAGTGACTCATAGAGTTAAACAATCTCAGAGAAGAGTGAAGCCTCAGATCTAGTGGCCAGTTACCTGACTGGCTCCCTAGTTTGGAGCAGACACGAGGCAGCAGGTGGAAAGAGCCGAGACTTCTCTCCCACTTACTCCACACAGAAAAGAGGCTGACACCCTGAAATGCGCAGCCTGACTGGGTCCCCAGGCCTGGTGTGGAGCACGCGGTGCGGCCTGTACCTGGAGAGACACCACGCTGATGTTATCAAAGTGGATGTGTCCGTTGGGCTCCGTGACAGCGGGGTTGGCGTAGCACGTCACTCCGTTGATGGCCGGCAATGCTTTGGGCTGATGAGGTTTTTCTTGGGGAGGACCAAAGTCATTGTTTCCAAAGTGGGAATGATCATTCTACATGGAAAACGATAGAAGGCAGAGGTGAGGAGGAGAATGAAGGCGTCCCACACAGACAAGAGCACAGAGAGGTCAGTATTTCTCATTCATCAGATAAAAATGTTATGTCCATCCTGCATACACTGTCCTCTTTTTACAATGGAAAATGTCTCTCCATTGAAGTACATGCTCATCAGTTATAGTCCGTTAATTCTGTTTTTCTTTTGTTTTTCGTCTTGGGGTATGTAGACCCTCTCATTTTGATGAGTATGAATGGAATGCAAATTTTCCACATCTGTTATTCAGCATTAAATTGTCAGTACTTACTCCCAATTCTGTAATATGAATCAGTTTCTCATGTTTTTATCGCTATGGCGAGTCCTTTCTTTCCCCACACTCACAAGTTTAATAACTTGGCTGCTCACAGAACCCAAAGTCCCCTCCTTTACTTTCCTGTGAAGAGAACATTCCAAACAAGACGTCAGACTTCCTAAATAAAGTCCACTTACCTGACCATAGGTCTTTAGCAACATCTTAAGAATTCTTTCAACAAAGAAAAGTACGTAAAATCCACCAAACACAGCCACGGCCTTCTCTACATAGTTGTCGACTTTGGGATTGAATCCAAATGCCTGAGGTGGGGGGGAGAGGGGAGAAAGCAATGCATGTAAAATAAAGTCCTTTAACTTGATTTCTAGAAAATAAGACCAAATTCTTCAGTATGTAATCTTCACCAAAGGTCAGTGCCAACCATCATATCCAGGTGATATTGAGAATTTACCTGCCAATATCACAAAACAAAAACCCTGAGATTTGAGTCACCCTGAGAGGTAGCATGAGAGGCCCTGTAGCCACAGGAAATAAAGTCCCCAAATGCCTTACAGCTTCTCCACTTACAGCTGTTAGCCATACTGGCCTGAAGGGGTAAATTTTGGAAGCAGCCCTGACCCCCACAGGTAGAAGATCATATCAGATTCAGGCAACAAAGAGAAACGAGATATCCACTTCCTCTAAAAGTGAGCTGTTTGTCCATCACAGCCAGAGTCAAATTTTTAAAGGCGATATGCAGACCACCTGGACAACTGTGTTCATGAGTTGGGGCCTCTTGAGCCAGGAGCTCCCGATAAGGCCTGAGAAGATCAGCAAGCCGAGGGCTGGGCCCTGGACAAAGAAGACAAGACTTAAGATGTCAGACACGCACGGTGGTGAGCAGGAAACAAGAGCTGGAGCTTAAACTACAGAGAGTCAAGGTCTTCTTAGCAGACAGCAGGCACCAGCCTAAGTAACACAGGAGACGAGAGGAGTAAGGAGCCAGGGAGCCGTGTGCCCACCGTGTGCGAGCCCCGTAGGAGGGCGCCGGGTTCTCGCATGAGGTCTCCCAGCCACGTGGTCACTCGTGCCTTCTCTGAGCCCACCTGTGCCAGAGCAAAGGGCACCCACACCTACTGCACGTGCCCGACAGCCTATGCAAACAATCCTCAGTAACTAAAGGGAAAGAGTTTTGAAAATGTCTATGGCAACTCGAGGTTCAATCACAAGACAGGTTCTTCAGCGCTCACGTAATCTTCTGACCACATCCATATCCTTTAATTATCACAGAAAGGTAAAGGAACATCCGAAACCCTATGGAGGACATTTCTTATTTCCCTGAGAGGTATTTGCTGTATATTACTACAGCTTCAAAAAAAAGTAGGAAGCTGCGAATTCATAAATGTGGAAACTCCAGTCTATACATAATACTATTTTTATTTCATTTGATCCATTAAGTCCAATGAGCTGATATACACATATAGAAGTATTTCATATTGATTGCTTATTACATGTTCAATATCACAAACGGGATTTTTAAACTGGCCCCTGACATCTGTGGTGCGAGGGGGAGGAAATATGGCCCGTGCGTGGACACGTTTCTCGGGCCCCCTCCGAGCCTCCCTCCTGCCTCCTTGTCCCTCACCTTCCTTTCCCCTCACTATTCTCCTTCCTTCCGCAGCACAGACGTGAAACCAGCCACACACTGGCTAGTAGTACGCTGCAGTCAATGTCAGCTCAATTTTACATTTTATCAAAGGGAAAAACAAGCTGCTAGTTATTGGCCCTCAATTGATTTTTTCCATGATGAAATAAAAAAAATAATCAGTTTGTTGACCAAGCCCTCCTTTCTCCTCTTCTGTAACTGCTGCAAATAGACCAGGGACTTTAGAGTCTATCCTCAGTCGATTTGACACCTCATGCACTTGGTGGGAAAAAAATGAATATATAAAAAGTGTGCAAAAAAATTAAAATGCCAAATGCAGGACTGAAGTTTTAAAGCCCACGGCATCAAAGGACTGATTTTCTTGATGTCGACAACCCCCCCCCCCCCCCCGCAAGACAAGCTCAGCTTGCAGGGCTTCAGCGTCTTTATCAAAAACACTAGGTTGGGCTCCCTGGTGGCACAGTGGGTTGAGTGACGCACTGTGAAGCTGTCCTCAGCCTCTGCAGCGCCGGTTCCATTCCCGGCCGGCCAGGGTGATTCCCACATGGCGCAGCAGACCTCTCCTGTCTCACCTGCTGCTCCCCTCAGCAGTGTATTTCAGTCAGTCTGCCTGTTCTGTTCCCTGCTCTGTCTCTGGTGAATCCTCTCACCGTCCCGCGCCTCTAGCCTGTACCCCAGTGCTTGTAAAAACAAATACATCTTAAAAAAAAAAAAAACACCACTAGGGACCTGACCATAAACTCTAGGACACGGTGGAGACTCCCAATGCACAGGTGCTAAGGCACTTCCAACAATTGTTTGCAGAAACAAGAAGCCAACATCCTTACCTCTGGAATCAGCTGGAAAATAGCATTTGAAAACAGCGTCCCAATAGCCAGCCCGACAAAATAGGTCAAAATCTTAGGGAAATAAGACTTCTTTATCAGCGGAGTCAAAAGCAAGCCGAGGAGAGACGCCAGATTAATAACTGTCACCGACAGGAATCCATATCCCCAAACTGTGGGTCAGAGAAGAGTGGAAATTAGTTAGCAAAAGGCGCCAAATGAAGCCTGTATGTTACACTGGAAACAAATTTCTCTTTAAACTTAAATGCTTGAAACAGGCATCTTTTAAAATCAACCAGTTCTTCTCAAAGAAAATGATATGAAAAACTGAGACCAGAGATGGAGCACATTGACGGTGACACCACCCCCATTTCCCGCAGTCTTGAATCACCACCGGGCTGGGAGGGAGATTTCACTGCTTGCAGGGAGCTTGGAAACTTCTAGAATGGCGATAACAATCTGAGGCCAGAGGCTCCAAGCCATCTCTTTCCCTGACAGTGCATGGCGAGCTCAACAGCAGCCTTTCCAAGGAATCAGGGGGCGTGAGTTTCAAGGAAGAGGTATGGGCGCAGGGGTGGGGAGGGTGGAGTGGGTAGCCCCAAGGTGACCTCAGGGCCAGTCATAATCAGTCCACTGCAGGCGGCTCCAGGGCAGCACCTCGGCCCCCTCCCGCCCTAGGGCCCCTGGGACAAGGGCTGGGCCCCTTGCAGCGAGCACTGAGTAGGTGATCCAAGGGGAGGAGCCCCACACAGCACAGCCCCCACAGCCCCGACCAGGGACGCAGCCTCACAGTGGGGGCCCTGGGGCCAGAGGCCTGGGTGTCACCCACCTCTGTGCCCCAACAGGGGCTTCAGAGAAGGAATGAACACACATGTCCTGAGCACCGCAGCTAATGGCTTATCCCGAGGCCTGATTGTCCCAGAGGAACTGCTTTAAAAACAATAGAACGGGAGCCTCCCTGGTGGTGCAAGGGGTTAAGAACAGCACTATGAAGCAATCCCCAGCCTCTGCAGCACGAGTTTGATCCCCAGCCGGCCAGGGAGCAATCTACATGGCGCAGCAGACCTCCCCTGACTCACCCACTGCTCCCCTCAGCAGTGTACCTCGGTTGATCTGCCTGTTCTGTTCCTCATTCTGTCTCTGGTGAATCCTCTTAGCCCCCTGCACCTCTGGCCTGTACCCCCCAGCTCTTGTATACATAAATAAATAAACCATTAAAAAAAATAAAAAATTTTTAAATTTTTTTAAAAAATAAGGGGCCTCCCTGGTGGCGCAGCGGGTTGAGTGCAGTGCTGGGAAGCTGTCCATAGCCTCTGCAGGCCGGCCAGGGAGAATCCCACATGGGGCAGCAGACCTCTCCTGTCTCGCCCGCTGCGCCGTTCAGCAGTGCTTTGGGTCTGTCTGCCTGTTCTGCTCCCTGCTCTGTCTCAGGTGAATCCTCTCACCCTCTCTCAACCATGGCCTGTACCCCGGTTCTTGTATAAATAAAAATAAATCTTTTAAAAAATAAATAAAAACAACAGAACAGTGCAAGGGAAACACATGTGGGGTCAGGAAGGTCGGGTCCAGTGAGGGGAGATGCAGACTGGCCTGGGTGGGTACCTGTGGCTGTGCCATGGGCCCTACACAGAGCCAGAAGGACAGAGTGGAGGAGGGGGCCTCTGACTGCCACTCCTCAAATGCCCAGAGGACACGTGCATATTGGTCACATTCCCAGGGGCACTGGCACCAAACACCTGACGCTGGTTGAGCGCCGCATGCCAGGCGCCCCTAAGAGACTGGCCTGATTCACCCAACCCCAGCAGACCCTGCTTCACGTCACAGGCAGGAGCACAGGGACTGCACATGTGAGAACCGTGGGGTGTGTAATGGGCACTCGTGTGAGCACATCTAATAGTGCATGCCACATGTGCATGCACTGAGTGCCTAGACACGCAGTGTGAGTGCAGGCCTATGCACATGAGCAAGCAGTTGTGTGTGAGTGTTGCCACTGAAGGTGTGAGCACCCAGATGCACATGTGCCTGGAGAGCGGGCACACATGTGAAGGCATGTGGCATGTGTGTGGGTGCATGTTTGGTGCCCTGGGGGCACACGGCTGCAGGCCTGGGAGCACGCTGGGAGCATAGAGCGCACACGCTCTTCCGCCATGGCCTCCAGAACCGATGGGAACTGGAGCACGTGCAGCCCCAGGACCAGAGCAGGGTTCACCCCCCCACCCCCACATTTTGGCTCAGGACCCACTTTTTCAGCCCCAGGCCGCACTGCTCCAGCAGAAGTGATGGAAGGCAGACCAAGGCTGGGCTCAGCACCCTCAAGGACACCAGCCCTCACCACACAGGTGCACACACCTCTCCAGCGCAAGACATGCAACCGACAAACCAACAACCCGGCGAGTGCTTACAGAGCCAGGTGAGGCTGAAACTGCAGCTGTAGCCATCAGGGGCCGGGAACCCTGCTGGGCACCCACTCGGGCAGGCAGGGAGGGCAGGAACAAGAGCTGCTGCTGACAGGAAATGGTCAGCTGCACTGACCACGGCCTTAACGTCTGCAGACCCCTGACCATTCCCACAAAGTCACCTCAGGGACCCGTTCCCACCTTATATCCAAAACACCCACCCCAGATGTCCACGGCACCCACGGGGCGTCTCCTGGCATGGCATTTTAGCCTGCCCCGACCTGCGGGCATCCCCATGTCCATCACATGCTCACCCTCCGAGGGCCAGCAGCGGCAAAGTGGACGTGTGCAGAAGCATGCTGTGCTGTGTGGGATGCATCACCAGACTCCACACTCATATCAGCCCATCTCACTCAGACCAGAAGCTTCACACGCCACCATGGGCCGGCAGATCCGGCCTGGGTCTTCGCCCTGAGTCTTGCCCTGTGCTCTGGATGTGTGTCTGCGGCTGCCTGAGGGGCAGTCCACGTCTACCTTTGTCCAAATCCCCATCATCATGAGCCCCAAGCCCTGGAAGATAAGCCCCATCCAACCACAAATGGCAACAAATCCACAGACCCCTCTTGTGGTCCCACAGCGCCTGTCCTCACACTGGGACCTGAGCCGGGCACCTCCAGGCCTCTCCACCTCCGCCTCACAGCAGGCTCTGCTACTCCCCACAAATGCTCACTCCTTCCCAGACGCTGCTCTTCCTCCAGACACTGCTCTTCCTCCACCGGGAAGATTCTGCCCAGATCTCAGCAGGCTCCCCTTCCCCACTGTTCAAAGGCCATCTCATCTGAAAGGCCGCTGGCCCCTCCCCGAAAATCACAGCACTTAACTTTCTTCACAGCGTGTCTCACCCTGAAGGCCTGCTCCTTGCTCGTGTGAGTGTTTGTTCTCTCCTCCCCACGATATCGATATCGCAAGCCCAGAGAGGGCAGGGATCTTCCTGTTCTCACTGAATTCCCAGAGCACGGGACAGCGCTTGGTGTGTCACTCAAGAAACATACATTGTGTGAATAAACATATTAAAAGAGAGAATAAAAACACCCATGTGGACAGGTTAACGATGAGGGTTAGGCGAGGTCAGCCAAGGAAATGCACGTTGCTGGCCGGCGGACCCCAGCCAATCGGGTCATCTCTTGAAGAAAGTTTTCCACATGAGTAAGTGTACAAACTGCACAACAAACACGTTCTTGCTGTCTCATATTCAAGAATTTCTTTACAGTAAACTATTCCTTGAAAATGCAGTCTCTATGGCAGCACTTAAAACAGTCCCCAGCTCTTCCATGTACACAAACGGAAGCAGTGCTAACTCAGTCCCTTCAGATTTAATCTAGAAGCATATCAGTTCTCTCATCTTTCTACTGGCAATTACAGACAAACCTGTACCTTATTTTAAAATAGTTGATATTGTATTTATTAAATAAAATTTGTAACAACATGACAAGCACAAGGTAATGGAAATCAACAGACTAACTATGTGCCAAATAGTTCATGTGGAATGTATGAGGCACAGCCTGAAACAATATTGCTGAAAATCAAGAGCTGAGTTTTATAAAGTTTTGAAGCAGTAGCAAGAGTATTTTTGACTCCACAGATAGAAAAACTAAACTTAGGAGGCTTACCTGAATTCTAAGTATGCTTTTTCTAAATGCTTGCGGAATAGAACTATTTTTCCGAAAGGGATTAAACGTAGATCAAGGAGGAAAGCACGCCAGCCTCCTTTTAGAGGAGCCCACAGGTTTTTCAGACAAAGGGGAGGAAAAGCTCCCAGCATACCTTCTGAGACGCTTGGTTTTGTTTTGTATGTGGGTTGGTCCTGGCAAGGGTGGAAGTTCAGCTGCTGTAAGACGGCTGGACAGATGGCAGGGAAGTCAGAGCTGGTGATCTCGGTGTCGTTGGGGAAGCCATGGAGGGAAAAGATCTCTTCAGCAGATAAACACTGGAATGGAAGAAGGCAAGTAAATGCATGTGTGTTTGCAGAGAACAGCAGGCCAGCAAAGAAACCATAAAGAAACACAGCACTTCATCTGGACACCAAGCACCAACTCTTTGTACAAGGCCACTTCAGAAATAGAGGAAGCCCCAGGACTGTGAAACAATTCTCACACCTCTAATCCTGCAAAGCTGAAAAATCATAAAAAGCCTTTCTTCACCAGCAATCTGGCCACAGCAGCCAGAAAGCTGAGACCCGGTTTAGCAATTTTCCAAAGATTTTAATTACTGAAGGTAGACCGATAGCATCCAAACAAAAGGCTTTAAGATGATTCTACAATATAATCTCAAGTCCTTTTCTGTCTTTCTTTGGTTTGAATGACTATTTTGTGTGGACTATTTGAGTGGGTCTCTGTAGCATTTTTTGTAGATAAACACCTGTAAGGTTCCTTTACCCTTTCATGGTTAATGGGTTCATCCATCCTTCTAGAGAGGAATAATATTTCAACATATTGCAATAATACGTAAGTGTTGTTTTAAGACCTGTCTTTAGCCCGAATGGTTATGTGCTAAAGTAAATATTGTTTTCAGTGAATTTTCCTTATTATTTAAAGTTTCGTAAATAATGCTGAGCTCTTTAGAAACTCATTAACTACTAATGAGGACTAGTGTCTACAAAAAAATCTTTTCAAAAATAACTTCAAAGGTAGCATTTTGCGGGCCTCCCTGGTGGCCCGCAAGGGGTTAAACACCGCACAATGAAGCAATCCTTAACCTCTGCAGCATGAGTTTGATCCCCAGCTGAGGCCAGGGAGCAAGCAACCCACAGGGCGCAGCAGACCTCTCCTGACTCACCCGCTGCTCCCCTCTGCAGTGTTTTCAGTCAATCTGCCTGTTCTGCTCCCCACTCAGTCCCTGGTGAATCCTCTCATACCCCACATCTCTCTGGCCTATACCCCAGCTCTTGTATGCATAAATAAATCTTTAAAAAAAAAAAAAAGGTAGCATTTTGCTCTTGGGTACATTTTACCTGTAAACTACCTTCCACATCCTTGCAGTCTAAAGAAGAGTGTAAAGGAAACTAAATGGACTGCTAGTATTAACACATGTGGTAAGAGTTGCAAAATGTGAACAGGACCCACCCACACAAACATTACCAGGAGGGCCTGTCTTGAAGAAGGAC